AAGGCTGCGAGGTTACCCACTAGACCACCGGGGCGACCGGGGTGCATATGTAGACTTCTGTACACTTGTAGATACAGAACCGTTTATCCGTTTAACTGTTTCAACGTTTGAAATCAACCAGACGCAAACAATTTGGCAGCGAAAGTTTATCGTGCGAAACATGTAAGCCCGCGCCAAGGGTAGAACGTCTTCAGCCATTGTTTGGTTTTTGTAGATGCAAGCAGTCTATTAGTCTACCGACTACAGTAGCAGTGATTTTTCTACATGTACTTGCGCGCGCGTTGGTGCTTACAGGTTTCGCGAGCTTCAAGCGTATTCAGCACCGGCCTTCAGACCGTCGGTCTCAAAGTTGGCACGACTAGTAAGCCAACTGGAAATGAGGATCGTGCCCCCGCTGGCATGAAAAAAAAATGGCAGCAGCACTACGCTCATGGAAAATGGATCCAGCTGGGAAAGATGTTCTGTCAGGTAAGTTCCAAGAACATTTACGTTCCGCGATCAACTTCGCAATCTTCTGCGCGTATATATCCGGCGTATGAAACCGATCTACACCCACGAATGCTCATCTTTTGAATGCACTAAATCATGCCCGCAGCATAGAGATTCCCAATACGTGCAGAAATCGAACATTGGGGCTTTGGGTTTTGTGCGCAGTTTGCCGGCGAAAACCATCTCAGACTACACCCTATGCTACTGCTGTTGCTGGAAGTGCATGACAAGTTTACCGAACTCACGCCCCCTCAGAGAAAAACTATCATGTGCTCTTTCCTCGCCGTTTGGCAGACGGCTTGTGTGCTCTTCTTCGTAATGTGCTTGTTATGGTCACAGCTTTGTTACCCGTTGGCGCTCAGCAGTAAGACTCTGTTCGAGGCTATCATTGACGGTAACGATCAGGCCGCTTCAGGACCCACCTACACCAAATGGCTGCTCGGATTGTTTTCGGACGAGGTACGATCTCTGGGATAGGTTGACCGACACGCGACGTGCGATGTTGTAGCATCGATGGTATTTGCTCGGAAACTGAAAAATTGTTTCGAGTGCGAATCCAGATGTCCGTGTGTGACCATGGATGGATGTACATGTGTTGGCGAGAAAGCGGTGAGGACGATATGCAGCTGGTATCAAGTGTAGCCTTGACCTTGACGTCACTTCTAGTAGTGAAAGCACCCAGATGCATCGAGGTAGTACAACTCTTTGATATTTCTGCTACTACAACCATGAGGTATTGCAGACAGGCCTGTACGGTCTGTTGATGAGAGCATCGAGTCTCGAGCAAATACGCGCGATGAGCATCGGGTCTTTCAATAGACCAATAACACCGAATCCATAACAGTCTCTTGACCCCCTCCTGCTCGTTATACTCACCCACGGTTATCCTAGGAAGAACTCACCGGTGCGTATGCACTACACAATATCTACATGTGGCACATCACCAACCCTTCGGAAATCCTCGATCAAGGTTTCAAGGTCAGTATTTCAGTTGAGCTAGCACGCACAGGGGCAGTGAGCGGGTACAGACTGTGAGGCCTGTGAGGTGGCATAGTTTCACTCAGAGGGGATTAAAACACGGTACATCTCCCTCTGCTCGCCATCATTTGTGACAGGGCAAGTTGTGACGTTTTACAGGTATGATTTTTGCTTTCCCTGTTCTCGCGATTGATTGCCTAGACTGTCGGGTAACATGTTTTCTCCACGACACATTATGTCAAACTGCTGTTCGCACTCCGTCTGTCTAGCCAAAACTTGCGGAAACGGGCCCATTGGGTTACATTAAGCGAACGACCAAGTACGACGTCCGGTTTTCGGCCGACTTTAGCGACACGGTCACCTACCGCTCCTGGACGGTGTATGATCCGGTGAGAGCAAGCTTCGATCCAATCAATGGTTACTCGAGTAGACAAGAAGCTAGTCTCGATGCAGATGTTTGGGCTCGCATTACATGTTCGTGTGCTCATCAGTTTGCACAGGTAGCAAGTTTAGGTTCGCGGCTTGCATGGAATACACCAATCAATATATTTCCTCCATTTGGTCTGCAGCAACCATTGTACATCACCTCTTGTAACTATTGGACACACGCAGGTAGAGGACCCTAGAGATTGCACCGACATGTTTTTTCGCATGGACAAGGCAAAGTTACGGCAAGGAATCGTGGACTGTAATACAACTTCATGCGACTGTGTGGGTGACACGCAACAGGTGAGGAATGTACTTGGGAGTGGTCAGCACAGGATTAGGATTGCCCACAACCGATGTATGCCGTCACGTTTCTGCGAACAATGTCGTTGATGTTTTGGTTGCCTTTTCAACCTTGACGACGTAGGTGACTGTGGTGAATCCCCCATTCCTCAAGCTGATGCAACAATATGAACCCAGCGGCATCATATCTACCCTGTCGCAAGAGGTTTTCGCGGACATCAAGGTGGGTAGAGTGGACAGCATGCTTCGTTCCGCAACGCACTAAATGAGTAATGTGGTGATTGAGTTGCATGTGGTGAACGAGATATCGAATGAATCTGTTGGGGCAGCGAATACTGACACACTAGCCTCTCCGCGTCTGCCACACACGGAATATCTAATTAAACACAAGGGGTCGCATTCTATTCGCAACAAAGAGCGGGGTGTTTGTCCCACTAGTCTCGGGCAATGCCGCAATACACGGATCGCTCTTCTTCTGTGCATGGTGTTTGATATCAGCGTGGCAAAAGTTCCTTTTCCACAAGTCATGTCAACAACATCGGTGCACATCGTGTTATCGTATCAGGAAGGCATGACCGAAGGGTTCGTGCGAGCTACGAAAGCATACATTCTACCTACGGTTCTCAACGACGTCTTCAGCTTCCGAAAGGCCTTCTTAACAGCAGACAGCGTACTGCGCTCCATTTTTTCATCAATATCGGCGACCGACGGCACCGCCACGGCTGTGTCCACGCTGAGAAGCAGATACGACGATACCTCGGTCGACTGCCAGGACTTCCAACCGAGCGGATATTCGAATAGCTGTCCCTGGGGTCTGCTTTCGTTCATACAGAGCGCAGCGACTTCTCTCGGTGTTGATGGCTCATTTAGCAAGGCAGAGGTACGGACCATGTGTGAATTTTATCTAGGCCCATACATGACAACAGCAAGCCGAGCTATCTCGTTCTAAGGGGGCCCCATGATTTCGGTGCTAGATGACCAGTGTTCGTTCTAACACGTTGGGTACCCTGACCCCGAATTCGCAGGCGGAGCACCTGTTAGGACTCCGATCGCCGACAGATGGGTCCATCTTTCACTCTTCGGGAGGGATGCTCAAGTGGATAGCGGCGGGTCGCTACGAAGGCTACCTCTCCGCGCCTTCCTTACCGCATCCAAGCGAGGTCGATCTCACCGGAGAGAGTGCTTTCGACGACCTCGTGGCAACGGTACGGATGGTAACACATGTGCAAGGCTGAATTAGTTCCAATCCCCTGCCATATTGCAAATCGGTTGTGTCTGAACACTATGCGATCGTCTGCTCAAATGCCAACGCTACTTCAATGACAGGTGTGTACCTGGGAGGCAATGGACGGGGGCTCCGCGCCTTCTTCGCAAGAATGCCAGGCGAAAGTTTCTGGTATCCTGCAATGGCTTTTCGGCGTTTGGTTCACCGAGGTATACGCTCTCTATTGGGAAACTATATTCGCCGTGCATTGACTGCTCCGAATGGAAGCTGGTTCTTTGGAAGATTTCGGCCGTTTGTGATGGGACACCGAGCCTTGTTCGCAGCTCATCCAAGCCTTGACGTGTTCATGCGTGTTTGTCCAGCAAGATTCGCTGCAGCGGGTTGACTTGGAAGCCGTGAGCTACACGCTCAATCATATATGCTTACACCGACGACAAAGTCGTTCTACTGATTTACGACGAGTTTTTGGATTCCTGCCCCGTTGCTCCCAGGAAAAGAAGCTGGAGGGGTACGTGATCGACGAATGGCGAGGCGTTTCAAGTGGAACGATCGATGTCATCTGTGATGCGGTAGGCAGTGTTTGTCCATGGAGAGTCGCCAACGGGACCAACGCAGCCGCCTGGAATATCAGCACGGCTGCTGCAGTGCTCATGGTGCGTGGTTCAATCCAAGCAATATCTACGATGTTGTGTACGAAGTCAACCTCTGCAGTCACGTTCGGATTTGAACATGCCCCTATCAAACTATCGGGATGCATCAATCCTACACCAGATTTTCTGGGTCCTCTCCTGAGCGACACAATATGTTTTCTGACTCAAGTATCGAACCAAACACGCATTCTTTTTAAACTTGAGGATTTTCACCCCCCACAACATTACTACGAACTTGATTGTGCTGACCAGATCGATCCTGCTGAGCGCGACTCAAGGAATGATCTTAGTCACTACACAGTGGACGGCCAAACATTGTGGGGCAACGCGTACACTTACTGCACGGCTGACTTCTTGACACCTATCGAATGCGACGAAGGCAGCCGTTATTTGGATGCTGCGAATGAAACCTTACCAGAATTGTTGAGGTCCGCGGAGGGATCGCTGGAATGGGTGCAGTATAGGGAACAGGTGCGAGGGAGGAAGCCATTTGTGGGCGGAAGTTTATCCCTCAAAGAGGGGGAGCAAGAATGTATGTCCATTTGCTTGAATTCGTGGCAAATTGGTGTATACACGAGGGAGGACGCCATCCGTGGGCGGAAGTTTATTCCTCAAAGAGGGGGAGAAGGAATATATGTCCATGTGTTTTGAACCCGTGGCGCATTGGTGTTGTACTGTATACAAGCCTGAAGTCAGAGGGGTGTTCTGCCTCAATCCAACTGGCAGCAGAGTTGATAACCCGACCCATGCATCCTTCAGCAGGCGAGAGGGTAAGGTAATCGGAGTGGAAAAAATTTACTCTATAAAGTATTTCGGAGCCCACGAGAATTGTGTGCAACAATTTGAGTGCCGCACACAAGCGGCAGCCCGATTTTTCACTGTGGTGCATCCCTGATCTAACACGGCTCGTTGCGCCCACAATAATTGTGATGCCTCAGGTTTGTGGGATCGCGTCAAACATTTTTGGATCTTGGGTCGGGGAAAGCACGTGGCTGAATCACATCATCGTCAATCATATCAACGCTTCCGTCTTTGAACTCACGGGATATGAGCTGGATGGAGACAGCATAGAGGACATTGGATACGTTCAGGTAACAAGCTGCAGCTTGCTTCATACTATGGTAGTCGTGACTCCTGGTGGCACTTTGGGGCTCGGAGAGACAACAGGGCGACAAGGACAAATATGGTGTGCAGGGTTGCGTTTTTCACGAAGATATTGCGACGACTTTCCGGCAGCGGGGTCCCCGATAACAGTAGCACTTTGCATTTACTCAGCTTGCCCTTTTAACCGACAAGAGGGCCCGCTCTACTTTTCGCGTGCTCATACAGTGGGCCACCGGGGCGGTTTCTTTTGCCCTTTTAGGACTGCAAACATTGGGCACCATCACCCACGATGGAATATGGAGGTTTATGGAGGAGAGTCGCCACAACTTGGGGCCTGAGCTGTCGACGCAGGTGATTTCACCTGATGGTTTAATACCACATTATTTTCTAGGTAGGCGGGATTCTGTCGTGATGTTCTCTTGTAGACTACACCGTCAGTATTCCTTGATTCGACGTTTTAAAACATGCGTATATCTCTAGTTGCTTGCGAGCGTTCATCGAGTGCCTATGAGCGAGGTTGAAACCCCCTACGTTTTTTATTCATACTGACACGGTCTCATCGTTGGCTTCATGGCCAACTGCCAACGTCTCTCGTGTTGTTCCTCGTACCAGGTGGCTCTCGCAGGCTACTCCAACATGGGAAACGCCACAATTGAGTATGGAAAGGCGCTGCTGGATTTGCTGGCAGAGGATAGTGACGAAGCCGACGAATTTCGGCGCTTCATTGTGCGGCAGAGCACAACGTACTACGGCGATTCCGACAATTGGTGATCCCTGCCGCCTTCACAAGGGCACCCTGCAGTAGCCTTCCACGTATTCAACGAACGACACAGACAGACACGTAACAACACATCGATCACGTTTCATTGATAACTATCTTGATCTGCCGTTTGAGCGACGGCGAGTGGGTCCTAGAAATCGGACCGGACCGCCCGTCCTCTAGTGTACAGATGGTTGTGTCCCGATGTAGGTAAGGCCAGTGCCTGGAGCCATCGACAATACGCCTGTATGATACGGTATCGTGGGCCGGAAACGACGGTGTCTACTGACGGGCCACGACATTGAGCAGCGTCAGGAATACAGAGCGCTTTTTTTTGTTTCGGGCATGACCTTTCCCACTTGTGTCCTCCTCACTGATCGTCGACTGGGCATGTTGAACCCGTGTCTTTGTCGGGGCGTCCAGGTGGGAAGGTCCATCTAGTACTTCGGGCTCTTTCGACCCAGGAGATGTGCTCTTTATCCAAGAAAACCCCTACGGCGATTTTTCATCGGCTGCGTGGGAGGGCACGGCCCTCAGCAGTGAAGTTACCGGCTTGCAATCCTGGCTCGACACGTCCTTTATGAGCTCGCCAGAGCAGTGCTACGTGCTCGAAGGCTTCTATGAGAGCTGCCTAGCTAAGGTGCGATGCTTACTATTTGCTTTGATACGTATTTCGAAAGGGACCCGCTCGATAGCCTACAACCAAGTCTACCGAGCTGAAATGGATGTGTAGGATGACTTGTAGAATGACATTGACAACGGCTTGTTTGTTCCTATGTCGTTTCCGAAGTAGGTGGCCGATGGCGAGGAGTGGCCGACCAACTGCAACTTTTTTCAAACTATCATCAGCGACACCGTATCGGGGATAGAGTGCGACGCCACGCGTATCTACGACAACGCGCATTCCTTTCCGAAGAAACCGGGGAACGTAGTGGCTGCATTCATGCACACCCTGGCGCTGGAAGAGGCAAGTGCCAGACCCGGGGTTGAATCTACGTTCTCGCCACGCGGATACCGCCGCCGGTAGGACTCCGAACATGATTCGGCCTGTTTTTATTTTGAACATACAAACCTGAAGTAGTCGACTGCTCACATTTTCCGCGCAGACCGTTGTCCTTTTAGTGACTACACCCTTCATGCGACTCGCCGAATATCTCACGGCGCTTCGCGCATGGTGATGTGAGAGCCTGGTCCGGTGAGAA